TGCTCACCCGCTTGCTCACCAGGATGCCGAAGAACAGGGTGTCGGCGAGGGGCCGCTGCCAGAGCCTCTCCCGGAATCGCACGTGCAGGACGCGCAGGTGCGGCGGCGTGAACACCTGCCCCTGCGTCGGCGTCAGCACGTCCGCGAGGACCTGCATCAGCGTGCTCTTGCCGCTCGAGTTGCCTCCCATGATGGCAACCAGTGACCCCTGGTCGATCTCGAGGTTCACGTCGCGCAGGATCGCTTTCGTCCTGCACGAATACGAGAACGAGACCCCCTTGACACATATGGGCACCTTATCCTCGGTGATTCCCGTGGGGTCCTCCATCGCCTTGCTCTTGATCAACTTAGCGAACTGGTCCCGCTGAGACTCACAATTTTGCTTTCGCTTTTCTAAGTCCGTGGGGACGTTCATGAATTCCACGGTCTTCCACAATCCAACGTAGCACGTCTGCATATTTATCATCGTCGCGAAGAGCGACTGAAACTGGCTGGCGGCGCTGGACGCCGCCGAAAACAGCGTACTGAAGGTACCCACCTGGATGATCTCGCGGCTTGCCAGCATTCCCCCTACGAGAAGGGCGGACACCTCTATGGCCTTGATCACCCACTTGAAGAAAGCATCGTCGTTGGCTCGCCTCATCCCAATGTGGACGATGGTTTTGTTGTAATCGCAGATTCTTTCCAGCGTCCTACTCAGCACCACAGGCCGGCTCCAATAATCAGCAATGGTGCGATAATGGTCAACTGCCTGACCGACATAGGTATCCAATATTATCTTGGCGTCAACTACGTTCGCGCGCGCGCATTCTGTCTCGCGCGCTCGGCAACTCGTGTACAAATATATCACTGGAGGCAAGAGAGGAAACGGCAGCAGGATCAGGAACACGTGACCCATCTGCTCTTCGACAGCCTGCGTGACAGCGATGTAAACGATGAAAGCGATTGCGGCCAATATCCGGCCGAAAGCTGTAAACAACAAGAAAAACTGCATATAACCGCATTTCACCAAATCGTGCACCTCGTGATTGAACGTCCCAATCCAATCGAAGGTGTTCATGCTGTCCCGGCTCTTCTCCTCGTAATACAGGAAGCTGGCCAGAATGTTATGGAGCACCGCCTTCCTGACGCCGCCGCCGACGCCCCAGGAGTGGCTTCGGTACGACACGTAGTGGTCCACGGCGTACGGGATGACTATGCCGCACGCGTAGACGCACAGCATGTAGTCCGACGGGCTGCCGTCCTTGCGCGCGAGGTCGTTGAGGAGGAACCTCAATATGAACCCGCCACCGCGCTGTGCCGCGGCTGGCGGCGTCTGTCGGGCCCCTGCCGCTTTCCTCCCCATCCTCTCCCATCCTCCCTTTCTCATCCCGGCCGCCTACGGACACGTCTGGGGGTGCGACACGGAGAACTTGTTGACAAGGAAAAGGAATGGAGGAACGGAGGAGGAGGACGAGGCGGAGGCGAAGGAGGAGGAGGAGGAGGAGGAGGAGGAGGAGGAGGAGGAGGAGCTCGCTGGAGAACTCGTGCGGGCTGCGTGTCCGGGAAGGGATTGCCCCTGCCCCTCCGTTCTCTGCTCCTTGCCCGCCCCCTCCGCCCCAGTCCTACCCCGATCCTCCCTTCCTCCTCCCCTCCTTCGTCGCACTCACCTCCCCCTCCCCTCCCCTCCCCTCCCCTCCCCATCTTTCGTCGCACCCTTTGTCGTACCCCCCCCCCATTCCCCCTCCTCCCCCTCCTTCGTCGTACTCCCCTCCCCCTCCGCCGTCGTGCCCCTCCTCCCCCGATCCTCCCTTCCTCGTCCCCTCCTTCGTCGTGCTCCTCCTCCCCCCCCCCCCCCCTCGCCCCCCCCCCCCCCCCCTCCTCGCGCGGCGAGGCACACAAGGTCCGTGCCGCGAGGCGCCCCCCCCCCCCCCCCCCCCCCACCCCTTGTGTGCTCCGCCGCGGCCACGGCGGCCATGGCGAGCAGCAGGCCACGCCCACGGCGCCAGCCCCGCTGGCCAGCGCAGACCAGCCAGCGGCCGGGACCTTTCGCTCCGCGAGCCGCGGCCGGCGGCCCCTGCGAGGCGCGCCGTGCCCCGCAGGCTGACAAAATGTGTCGCTCCGCTCGGCAGGGCGGAGGCTCGGAAACGGCTCGGGACGTTGCCGCTTGGGGGCTGGCACGTGGATGCGTCAGGTTAGTGTCGTGCCGACTTCGGCGTTAGTTTCCGACACCGCGGGGATCGTTCAACCTTGAACGATCGGCCGTTTCCGAAACGTCCAAATCGTTCCACGTCGAACGATTCTGGGTCGCCCGCGGCGTTCAAAGTTGAACGCCGCTGGCGGGGTCGCCGCCGGTCGACACGACGCGAACCTGCCGTAGCGTGTCGCGCCGGAGCGTGGTTGCAGCCCCGCTGACCGCTGACCGGCGCAGATAATCTACGGTCAGGATCCCGCCATCAACGAATCCCGGCCGTGCTTATCTGAGGACAAGCTTGCTCTTGGCTTTTCTTCGGGTGATCTGTTTCGGATCGACCTTCCGAAGCAAGCATGCGCCATGCGTCTAGTCTCTCTCTCGGGGCAAATTCCGATCGCTATGTTTTGCCAGTCCCCCCCTGTGGTTCAGACCTTCGGGTTCCCTGGGTCCCCTGGGCATCCTGGAAGAAGCCCCTGAGGGGCCTCCTGGACGTCCCCAGCGGGCCCCCAGAACGGGCCATAATGATCAGGAGAGCGCCCAAACAGCCGCGCGAGAGCACCAAGAGGCGTCATAACCCTCCGAGACGGCGCCAGACGCCCCAAAGAGAATGTCCAAAAGACCACCCGAGCACAAACCCATGATGTTGTTAGCGAATTTGCTGTGCTGCTTTGCCTGCTCGTATCCGCTTCGTCGGTCTGCCAGGGGGGTCCGAGACTGTCCAACGGGCTCCCCGGATCGCTCAGCGATGGCCCACCAGGGCTTCAATGACAGCCCGAGAGGAGCTCTCAGACAGCTGAGCTGGGCTCCAAGGCATCACGAGTTCGCCCTGAGACGATCCCCAGAACACCCCAAATCTGGACGCATGCGTTGAGGGCAACCGCGGTTGTCAGCAAGATGGCCCTTACAGCCTGGAACGCCCCCCTCCCTGCGGTGGAGCGTCCCCTGGTGGAACGTCCCCTGGTGGAGCGTCCCCTGGTGGAGCGCTCTCTGGAATCACGGTGAAACGGCCCTCTGCTGGTGGAACGTCCCATGGTGGAACGTCCGATGAGGGAACATCCCCTGGTGGAATCAAGGTGGAACGCCTCCCCTGCTGGTGGAACCCCCCCTGGCGGAACGGCCCCTGGTGGAACTAAGGTGGAACGGGCCCCTTGCTGGTGGAACGTTCCCTGGTGGAACGTCCCTTGGTGGAACGCCCTCTGTATGAACATCCTCCGGTGGAAAATCGCGAAGTGAAACGTCCCCTGGTGGAACCAAGGTGGAACGGGGCCCCTTCTGGTGGACCGCCCCTCCTGCTGGTGGAACGTCCCCTGGTGGAGCGTCCCCTGGTGGAACGTGCCGTGGGTGGAACGTCCTCTGGTGGAACCAAAGTGAACTGGCCCGTTGCTGATGGAACGTCCCCTGGTGGAACGTCTCCTGCTGGAACGTCCCCTGGTGGAACCAAAGTGGAACAGACCCTCTGCTGGTGGAACGTCCCTGGGTGGAACGTCTCTTGGTGGAACGCCTCCTGGTGGAATCAAGCTGTACGGCCGCCCTGCTGGTGGAACGTCCCCTGATGGAAGCCCCTTCTGGTGGAACCAAGGTGCAACGGTCCCCCTGCTGGTGGAAGGCCCTCGCCCTGGTGGAAGCGAGGTGGAACGGCCCCACTGCTGGTGGAGGAACCAAGGTGCTACGGGCCCCTTGCTGGTGGAACGCTCCCTGGTGGAACGTCCCCTGGTGGAACGTCCCGTGGGTGGAACGCCCTCCGGTGGAGTCACGGTGGAACGGCCCCCCACCCCCGAGACCGCCACGCCTTTTCTTCCAAACGAATGAAGGACCGGAAGCTCTCGGAAGCAGTTCTAGCATGTCTTAACATTCGAGCAGCCTCCACTCACCTTCTGGAACCCTGCTGGTAGAGCGTCCCCTGGTGGAGCAACCGCTGGTTCAATGTCTCCCGGCGGAACCAATGTGCAAGGGGCCCCCTGCTGGTGGAACGTCGCCTCGACGGGCACATTCTGTCAACAGCAAGGGCCAGTGTCAAGGCGCAGGCTGAGCGGCCGGGCAGCGTCGCCAGACCTGACCCCCAGCCCCCGCCTCCGCCGCGCGCCACCCCCTCCGATAGAGCGGCGGCGTCTGGCGCGCGACAGCGTAATCGGATAACCGGGACAGCCAGATCAGATTCTCGACCTGGCCGGCGGCCAACATCTTGAGGGAGCCGCGCCTCGTTGCCCTGAAGCCGAACTTCCCGAATTCGACCAACATGGCTAAGTTCCTGCCACTCTTCCATCGCATGTCGTTGCGAAGGTCCGAATTCCTTAGTTTCGCGAGGTCCTCAGCGAATTTGTTCGAAGGGAAGACATCGTCGTCGATGATCTTGATGCGTGTCTTGTTCAAATGTTTTCCGAGTCGGCAACCTTTCGGATTGGAGAGTTGCAGCATCACCTCCACTGTCAGCCCATTGAAAACGTTATTCTCGTGGAACTTGACGTGGACCGTCTGCGTTCTTTCGTTCGGCCCGAAACAGACGCTGCATTGCTGGCCCTGGAATGCACTACCCTCGTGCTCCGACGGAAGAGTCGCGAACTCGACGGAGCAGCTCGTATCGAGCGCGCCGAGTCGCGCGATGTCGATCGCGAGGTTCTCGCCCTCCTCTGCGGGACCGCACGGAGACCCCTCACGGAGGGACCTCACAAGGAGGAACCCCACAGGGAGGGGCCCCCACGGGAGGGAGTGGGACTGGCCCCCCACGTAGAGTCATCAGAATACCCCGCGAAGGAGGCACACACACAGACACACACACAGACACAGACACACACACACAGACGCACACAGACACAGACACACACACACAGACACACAGACACACAGCCAGACACAGCCAGACACAGCCAGACACAGCTAGACACAGGCAGACACACAGACACACAGACACACAGACAGACAGACAGACAGACAGGCAGACAGACAGACAGACAGCCAGACAGACAGACACACAGACAGACAGACAGACCGACAGACAGATAGACAGACAGACAGACAGACAGACACGCAGACACACAGACACACACGTAGGCCATGTGGGAGACAGGACTGCACTCCCCGCGGGAGGCAGTGGAACACCTCCATGGGACAAAACAACAATTCTCGGCAGGAGCACTCAGAGCACCTCGCGGGGGTGCACACCCGCAAGGCCCAACATACTAACCCTCGTCCTTAGCGTAACTCGTCGAGGTCGCGAACTGCACGATGCTCAGCAACGGCTCGTCCTCGGACCCCACCAGCTCGCTCCCACTGAAGATGTGAAGACTGGGAAGCGGCACCGACACATGATTAGTCTCAGAGGTCTGCACGGGTTCCCACCAACCCTGTTAGACGTGCGTGGCTCAGAGCGTTTCCTCTTCCGGCCCCCTTCTGGGAGAGGGGTCTACCCCTCCCCCTACCCCTCGCCGCAAGACCCCCCCCTCGATCACATAAGCCATGATCTGTGAATGAACGGGGCGCACGGCTGAGACGCATCGCGAGTGAGAGAGACGGGGAGACAGACAGCGGAGTGAGAGAGTATACGCAAGGCAAGTGCCTACCAGCACGGCAACTCAGCACAGCAGACTAGCACGGCAAAGCTGCACGGCAGATCAGCCCGACAAACCCGCACGGCAGACCAGCATGGCAACATGGAGGGGTCCGGGGCCTTCCGTGAGCGCTCTTGAGTACCACTCGGGGGCAGTCTTGGGTGGGCCGTCTTGGCCTTTTCGAAGCATGGAAATGCCCGAGGCCTCCTTGGGACCCTCCTGGGCCCGTCTTGGGGGCCGGCTTGGGCTCCTCTCCGGCACCTGAGCCCCTCTGAGGCCTTTTGGGAGCCACCTGGAGGCCCTCGGGGGCCGTTTTTTGGGGGGGCCTTGTTGGCTTTCTCGGCATCTGGAGGGCTCACCCTCTCGTGAGCGTGTGGGCGTTGTTCGGGCTTTTTCTTTTGGCCTTCGAAACGTGGAGGTACCTGGGGCCTTCTTGGGGCCCGACTCCGGAGCGTCTTTGGGACCTGGGAGCGGGCGTTGCTCCTCCTGGGCCCCTCCTGAGCCCCTCTCGGGTCTCTTGGATGCTGTGGAGAACAGGGCAGCGCAAGTGCTGAACGTGTACGTTGCCCAGGGGGGCGATTGGTGCCCCTGCCGGTTCTCTCGGGGGCTCCATTGGAGCCCTCTTGTGGCGTCTTGGGGGCCTCCTGGGTCGTCTTGAGGCCGTCTTGGGCGTACTGGAGCGGCCCCGTGCCGTCTTGCAGCCCTCTCGGACCCTCCTGGAGACCTCTTGACGCCGTCCTGGAGCGCGGGCCCCCCCCCCGCACAGCCCGGTGCCTTGCCCTTCGGGCGACTGGGGGGTTTCACCTGCACTACAGGGCAGTTTTTGATACATGGGATTTTTAAACATATAGATAGGATTTTTAATCCATGATCAATTTATGAATGGATTTCTGTATGAACTCATCGTTGTTTTTTAATACTAAATCCCTGCATTTTTAATACATGATCCGCACGCGGAACATGTGTAAAAAACCGGCACTGTATTTGTCAAAGTGCCCTCCCGCGGGTCTACACGGGGGGGTGGGCGCGAGTGGTCAGAACGTCCAAGATGGCTCAACATGGCTCCAGGATGGCCCCAGATACCTGAAGATGGCATCGAATATGGATCAGCATGCCCTGAGATGGATCAAGATATCCTCCAAGATCCTCCAATCGGCCCCAAGATCGCTCTAAGACTGCTCAACGTGGCCTCGGAGCCCCGCAAGGAGGCTCACCGAGAGGCACAAACCTTTTGGAACATCAGTGGTTCGTGCATTCCTGCCCTGTCGCTGTCGCTTTCGATGGCCATCCGAAGCCTCAAGACGGCTCCAGGACGGCCCAAGAGGCGCCAAGAAGGAAAGAAGGCTCCAAGATGGTCTCAAGAGCGCCCCAAGAGAGCGGCAAGAGGCGATGTTGCGGGCTCTAGAGTGGCGATGCTGTTAAGGCCCCCCCCTTTTCTTTGATCGATATCCTCTAAGATGGCCCCAAGAGGGCGCCCAAGGCCCCCACAAGGACTCAAATACCGCAAGAGGGCTCCACGATGGCTCCAAGAGGGCTTCGTGTCCTCCAAAGGCCGCCAACAATTGCCCAGCCGAGGTCCCACGACAGCCCAGGTAAGCTGCCAAGAGGCTCCCAGATCGAAAGATCCGCGACGGCACTGATGTCTTACTCCTGGGCCTGCTCAGGCTGATCTCGAGCTTCGGTTTGATGGCTGCCCCGCCCCCTATTTGTTCCACTGCCTGCTCACACACTTCCCTGATCAGTGCAATTCGCCTGGGCATCGCTGCTGGATGGGCTGGTCGGATTTTTTTTGGTCGCGGCCGCAAGCGAAGGCGCAGGCGGCGTGCGAAGTCAGCCCGGGCTACGAGCGAAACCTACTTACCTATAGCGCGCGCACTCACGGCCGCCGGAGCTGCCGCCGAGGGATGCCGGGCGGCGCCGGGGGCTGCAGGCGGGCCGCAGGAGCTGCCAGGTGTGGCTGGTTGGAATGCGCGGAGCGTCAAGAGCTCCTCGGTCCCTACAGACTTCCTCGCTCGTGGAAGAAAGCACGCCGCACACATTTGGACGCGTTCGGCCTCCCCGGGGCCCTCGCCGAGCCCCGGGAGGCCGTGACAAAAAACCACTCAGGATGAGAAACTGGCCCGTGTGAAGGATCTGGGCCTCCCAGGGTCCGCGTGAACGACGAGGCGAAAGGGGTCTTGCGCGAGATGACGTATATCGACCGTGGCGGCTTGTGCGAGCCGCCCGCGTGGCACTCTACAGTGGAAGCGAGGACGCGCACGCGCAGCCTCACGCGGGAAACTTGCATGCGACTGTCCGCGCGGTCGAACCCGCGGACAAATCACGACGTCGGAGGTCTGGCGTAGTGGAGCGCGCGGGGCTCACGGAGTCTGCGCGGACCTCTGGAAGTTCACCTGCTCGTGCCGTTTCCTGGTCTTCGAGGGAGCCCCGCGGCGAGCTGCCCTTGAGGATGGTGGTCTGCGCACCTGCCGAGGATCCCCAGAGCTTGCGCTGGCACCAACGTGTGCTTGACCCCCGAGGCACCTCGATGCGACGCAGGCGGCGCAGTGAGGGCCGACACAAGCAGCGCGCTATCGGTGGAGTTAAAAATGGAGTAAACACACCCTGTGCGAACGCACGTCCTGAGGACCATCGAGCCTGAGCATGATGGGATGGAATTGGACCCTGCTGGACACGACCCCTGGCCCTGGGGCTTTCCCCAGGACCACCTTTCGCGGTTACTCGCAAGAGTGGAACAGGCAAGCTTGACGTTTGGTGCGCGGCTTGCCGATGTGGCTGCATGCGGCGCGACAGTAGCGGCTTGTGTGCTTGGATTTGAGCCCCCGCGCCCCCCGAAAGCCGCGCACCGAAGGTCACTCTGCCGAAGGGCCACCCTGATTCTTTGCTACTTTTCCTCAACCGATGTTTCCGTTTAAGGGTGCTTACTTGTTTTGCAAGGAACTGGGCGGCCGCCCCGGCCGGCTTGTGATCGCCCCGTCGCCGCTCGTCGCCGCCCTTCGCCGCCCCGTCGCCGCCGCAACTGGGCTGGTCTGCTGCCCCCGCCGGCTTGCTGTCGCCCCGTCGCCGCCCCGTCCTCGCTCGTCGCCGCCTTTCGCCGCTTCACGTCGCCGCCGCCTCATCGCTGTACCACGTAGATTGCACCACATATAGCGTGCACCATGTAGATTCTCCCTTCCGACAAGAGAATCGACTCTACCCCCCCGGGATTATCGGTACCCCTTTGCGTATTGCAATTTGCGTATGATTGTGCCTTATCGTCCATCCAAAAACCGACTCGCATCATCCCAGGGGGGCCAGTACTTCCCCCCTGCCATCCTCTGCAACTAATACTATGCGCGCGCACTCGTTTATCACAAATCATGCATGTTCGAGGGTCCCTTGCAAAAAACGGGTCGAAGTGCACACGCGCGCGCGATCCGAAATCCTTCAAAAACCTTACGTTTCGCAGGGATTCCAATATCGAATGAATGTCCAAAATACATATAAAATCACATGGCTTCCAACGAAGGGTTTTCAAAACAAACTTGCGCGCGCTCTTGCGTAATCAAAAAAAAAGGTCTCATCAATTTCAGAAAATGCTACCGAACGGGTTCGCGCGCGCATGTCGAAATCGTTCGAACGCCTTTGCGCGCGTGCCGTCGCGAGAATCCTTTTGCGACAGAAAACACGAAGTGCACGCGCGCGCGGCCGCGCGTTTGCCGAAATTCGTCAAACATCTTCGGACCGAACGTCCCAAACACACAACGTGGCTTCGCAGCAACAGTTTTCAAACAAAAACGTGCGCTCTCGCTTCCCAGCATTCTCGTGGAATTCTGCCAAACGGGCCTCTGGCGCCGCATGCCTAAATCATTCGCGCGCCTTTGCGCGCGTGCTGGGGGGGGGGTGGGGGGGGAAGGGGCACGATCTGTGTCACATAACTCCATACGGGCCAGTCTCGCGCGTCGGCCGCGCGCGCATCTCGAACTCTTTCCAAAACCTTCATCACCGAGGCGAGGACGCCGTCATCGTCGTCAGCGTGATCAGCATCGGCGCCCGCACTGGCCGCGCCGTCGTCGCTGACGTCGCCACCAGCATCGCTACTGTCATCATCGTGTCTACCGTGGTCGACGTTGCCGTGATACCGCGCCCGCCCAAGTCGCCGACTCGCATTGAAATGCCCGCTGGGATGTGCCAAGCGGTCAGCGCCACCGCGGCCGCATCGGTCGCGCCAGACTAGCTGGCCGCTGCGCGCGTGCTTGGGTTGGCGCGGCCGCAGAGATACACCAGCCAACGCCAAGCATGCATCGCAATCGCCACCGCATGGGTTTTGCAAACCAAATTGCTGGTGGGCGGGTGGGATGGTTGCAATACCATGGCACCACATAGATCACACCATGTAGACTGCACCACATGGCTTCCACCACATAAAATGCACCACGTAGCTTGCACCTCGCTGAAATCTCATCGCCTATACGTATGCATACACATACATACATACACACCACACGTACGTACACACATACATACATTAACGTACATACATGCACATCTTTACACACATATGAATACAACTGTATATATGCATATTATCGCATGCTCACATACATGTACATATAACTTGATTCTCCTTTCTAACACAAGAATGCACTCTACCCCCCCTGGCGTTATCGCCCCCCCTTTCGGGTATGTAAATCACATATGGTTCTGACCACATGTCCATCTTAACTATGAAATCGCAATGTCCCAGGCCAACCGGGTTCCCCCCCCCTGAGGTCCCCCCCCTAAAAAAATATGCGGTGACATTTTTTGTTATAACATAGCATTTTTTCACGAATCCCTTGCGAAAAACGGGACGAAGTGCGCACGCGCGCGTCGTCGCGGGCGCATGCCGAAATCCTTCAAAAACCTTCGGTGCCGGAAGGATTCCGCAATCGCGTTTCCAAAAAACATATAACAACACAGGGTTTCGTAACACTAATTTGCTAAAAAAAGCTTACCCGCGAGCTCTTGCGAAATCTTAAGAAAAACCATTTGTTTTTTTCAAGAATTTCATAACATGCTACCAAGCGGGTGTCGCGTGCGCATGTCGAAATCTGTCGAAAGCCCTTGCGCGTGTGCCGTCGCGAGAATCCTCTGCAAAAAACTAGACGAAATGCAGACGCGCGCGTCGTCGCCCGCGTGCGCCGAAATCCTTCAAAACCCATCGGTTTCGGAAGGATTTCAAAATCGCGCGTCCAAAAAACCTACAAAAACACAAGGTTTCGCAACACGGATTTTCAACGAAAGCGTGCGCGCGCGCTCTTGCGGCGTCGTCGTCGTCGTCGTCGTCGTCGTTGCCGTCCTCCCTCCTCCCGCGTCGTCGTCGTCGTCGCCTACGTCGTCCTGTGTCTTTCCTCGTCTTCGTCGTCGTCGTCCTCTTTGGCGTCGTGGTCGTTTCCGTCGTCGTTGTCGCCGTGGTCGTCCTTCCTCCTCATCCCTCGGCGTCGTCGTCGTCGTCCGTCGTCGGCGTCTCGTCGTCGTCCCTCCTATTTCGTCGCCGTCGTCGTCGTCGTTGTCGTCGTCGTCTCGTCGTCGTCTTCCCTCCTCCCTCGTCGTTGTCGTCGTCGGCGTCGCCGTCCTTCCTTCGTCGTTCGCGTCGTCGCCGTCCTCCCTCCTCCCTCGTTGTCGTCGTTGTCTTCGTTGTCGTCGTTGTCGCCGTCGTCGTCCTCCCTTCTTCCTCGTCGTCGTCTTCGTTGGCGACGTCGTCGTCTTCTTCGTCGTCGTCGTTGGCGTCGGCGTCGTCGTCTTCGTCGTCGACGTCGGCGTCGTCGTCGTCGCCGCCGTCGTCATCGTCGTCGTCGTCGTCGGCCGTCTTGCTTCTCTGGCCTTCTTGGGGCGCTCTTGAGACGCCCCCGAGGGCTCCAAGACGACCCCGGAGCGATATCTGTGCTCGGTCCCGCATGGGTTTTGCAAATCAGGTTGCGGGTGGGTGGGTGGGATGATTGCGCGAGCAGTGGAGTTGACAACTTCAAGTTCGGCAAGTGAATCTTGCACTATAATTTGCACCACAAGGGTTGCCCCCCTTATAGATTGCACCACATAGCTTGCACTACATCGTGTGCGCACCCTATGTTGCACCGCATAGGTTGCAAACCATATGCCTTGCACTACATGCATTGTGCCACATAGTTTGCTCGAACACACTATAATGGGGATCTTCGCTGGCTAATATTTCAATTTATCAAGGTCCAGGGTCCAAGGATGGGCACTGGGAGCTAGGAAAAACAGCGAAAGCCTCGGAACCCCTTGCCGCGGGGGCCCTTGTCCTCCAGAAGCCCTTTCCGCCAGTCTGAGCAGGGCGAGATGAGACAACGACAACTCAATATCGGTCCCCAGACCCCTCCCAAGTCCAAACGCACCAGTTTTCCGAGCTGCGCCTTGCCGTGGCGACTTAGAGACCGACTGCCGCTGTCTCAATTCGCCCTCCTCTGATCCAGGACCCCTGTCCTCCAGGACGCCTCTTTTTTCATGCCGAGCGCCGCTCAGGAAAGGCGGCGCCGCCGCCAGCTTCGGCGGAGCGCCCGCGCCCTCCTGTCAGAGGTTGCCAAGGGTGATCCTGGCCTGGGGTGCCCCGGCCTCTTCGCGCCACTCTGGGGCCCTTGGGGCCATGTGGGCCTCGCGAGGGGCGCTCTGGAGGGCATTCCTGGATACCCTCGGGCACCTTCCCCATGCCCCGGCTTTTCATCCCGACTCGGCTTTTGACGGCCCCTGGGGCCTGGCGAGGCACCACCCCAGAACCCAAAGACTGTCCAGAAGAACCTCCTCGCCGCGATCGTCATCCACGCCGCGAGGGGACCAGTGTTGGGCCAGGGCCAGCCCTTGGCAGCACCCGATCCTTCTGCTCCCATCCGCCCTCGGCCGCCTCTGGAGGCCGCCCAGACGGGGCCCGAGCAGACGATGGGGCCAGGGCGTCGCACCGCGCCTCCAAAGCACCGGCGATGCGGCGCGAGGCACCGACCCCCGTCCGCTTCGACCCCGCCTGGGCTTTGGACGCCTGAAATGGGCTCGGAAAGAATGGGTACAATGCCCAACAACAGATGTTGTCCCAAACCAACAGCGAGCGGCCGCTGTTGGGCGGGCGGCCTTCTGTCTCGAATGGACACAGAACGCGGCGGCGCGGACAGCGGATCCTGTTCAAAATGGACAGGAACTGCTGTTTGGCATTGTACCCATTCTTTCCGTATCCACTTCGGGCGTCCAGAGCCTGGGCGGCCCCGGAGCCTCCGCCTCCGCCGCGGCCCGCGCCTGGGGGTGCGGCGCCGCCACGGGCGGTGCCACCGGGAGCAGGGCGGCCGCCATGCAGGGCGGGCCCGCGGCCGCTTCGAGCCTGCGGCCGCCCACCCGCGCGGAGCCTTCCTGGACCGCAGCGGAACGCAGCAATTACGCTACCGAGGAGCCCCACAAACTTATATTATGGTTGGAGTGATGATAACTGAAGTGAAGCATGTGAGAATGATGTTGGTGGCCGTTGCCCCGCCGATACCGTTGGTGACGCCACTCAAGAGGAGAGGTGGGGAGGAGAAACGCCGCGACAGCCACACTTTGCGAGACCGAAACAGATAGCGACCGCACCCCCAAGGTACCCCTTGTGGCGTCGAGAAAGTGCCACGCCTGCCACGCTTTGCGAAGTCGAAACGGATAGCGACCGCACTCCTGGCGCACCCCCTGTGGCATGGAGAAAGTACCGCGCCTGCTACGCCTTGCGAGCCCGGGACGGATAGCGACCGTACCCCCAGCGCACCCCCTTTGTGGCGTCGAGGGAGTGTCACGCCTGCCACGCTTTGCGAGCCCGAAACGGATAGCGACAGCACCCCCAGCGTACTCCCTTCGGCGTCGAGAAAGTGCCACGCCTGCCAAAGCTTTGCGAGGCCGAAACGGACAGCGACCGCACCCCCGGCGCACCCCCTGTGGCATCGAGAAAGTACCGCGCCTGCCACGCGTTGCGAGCCCGAAACAGATAGCGACCGTATCCCCAGCGCACCCCCTGTGGCGTCGAGGAAAAGTCACGCCTGCCACGCTTTGCGTGGCCGAAACGGGCAGCGACCGCACCCCCAACGCACCCCCTGTGGCGTCCAGAAAGTGCCACGCCTGCCACACGTTGCGAGCCCGAAACGGATATCGACCGCACCCCCAGCGCACCCCCTGTGGAGTCCAGAACATGCCACGCCTGCCAGGCTTTGCGGCAGTGTCGTGGACTGAGGGACCACCCCCTGCGCACCCCCTCGTGGTGTCCAGAAAGTGCCACGCCTGCCAGGATTTGCGACAGTGTCGTGGATAGCGGCCGCGTCTGAGAGACCACCCCCTGCGCACCCCCTTATGGTGTCCAGAAAGTGCCACGCCTGCTAGGCTTTGCGAACATGTCGTGGATAGCGGCCGCGCTGGGAGACCACCCCCTGCGCACCCCCTATGGTGTCCAGAAAGTGCCACGCCTGCCAGGCTTTGCGACACTGTCGTGGGTAGCGGCCGTGCTGAGAGACCACCCGCTGCGCCCCCCCCTTATGGTGTCCAGAAAGTGCCACGCCTGCTAGGCTTTGCGACAGTGTCGTGGACAGCGGCCGCGCTGAGAGACCACCCCCTGCGCACCCCCTATGGTGTCCAGAAAGTGCCACGCCTGCTAGGCTTTGCGACACTGTCGTGGATAGCGGCCGCGCTGAGAGACCCCCCCTGCGCACCCCCTATGGTGTCCAGAAAGTGCCACGCCTGCTAGGCTTTGCGACACTGTCGTGGATAGCGGCCGCGCTGAGAGACCACCCCCTGCGCACCCCCTTATGGTGTCCAGCAAGTGCCACGCCTGCTAGGCTTTGCGACACTGTCGTGGATACCAGCCGCGCTGACAGACCACCCCCTGCGCACCCCCATATGGTGTCCAGAAAGTGCCACGCCTGCCAGGATTTGCGACACTGTCGTGGATAGCGGTCGCGCTGAGAGACCGCCCCCTGCGCCCCCCCCCTTATGGTGTCCAGAAAGTGCCACGCCTGCCAAGATTTGCGACACTGTCGTGGATAGCGGCCGCGCTGAGAGACCACCCCCTGCGCACCCCTTTGTAATGTCCAGAACGTACCACGCTTGATAGGTTTGCGACAGTGTCGTGGATAGCGGCCGCGCTGAGAGACCACCCCCTGCGCCCATCCTATGGTGTCGAGAACATGCCACGCCTGCTAGGTTTTGCGACGATGTCGTGGATAGCGGCCGCGCTGGGAAACCACTCCCTGCGCACCCCCGATGGTGTCGAGAACATGCCACGCCTGCTAGGCTTTGCGATAGTGTCGTGGAGAGCGGCCGCGCTGAGAGACCACCCCCTGCGCACCCCCTGTGGTGTCCAGAATGCGCCACGCCTTCTAGGCTTTGCGACACTGTCGTGGATAGCGGCCGCGCTGAGAGACCACCCCCTGCGCACCCCCTTATGGTGTCCAGAAAGTGCCACGTCTGCTAGGCTTTGCGACAGTGTCGTGGATAGCGGCCGCGCTGAGAGACCACCCCCTGCGCACCCCCTTATGGTGTCCAGAAAGTGCCACGCCTGCCAGGATTGCGACAGTGTCGTGGATAGCGGCCGCGCTGAGAGACCACCCCCTGCGCACCCCCTATGGTGTCCAGAAAGTGCCACGCCTGCTAGGTTTTGCGACAGTGTCGTGGATAGCGGCCGCGCTGAGAGACCACCCCCTGCGCACCCCCTATGGTGTCCAGAAAGTGCCACGCCTTCTAGGCTTTGCGACACTGTCGTGGATAGCGGCCGTGCTGAGAGACCCCCCCCCCCTGCGCACCCCCTATGGTGTCCAGAAAGTGCCACGCCTGCTAGGCTTTGCGACAGTGTCGTGGATAGCGGCCGCGCTGGGAGACCACCCCCTGCGCACCCCCTATGGTGTCCAGAAAGTGCCACGCCTGCTAGGCTTTGCGACACTGTCGTGGATAGCGGCCGCGCACCCCCTGGTGTCCAGAAAGTGCCACGCCTGCTAGGCTTTGCGACACTGTCGTGGATAGCGGCCGCGCTGAGAGACCACCCCCTGCGCACCCCCGATGGTGTCCAGAAGGTGTCACGCCTGCTAGGCTTTGCGACAGTGTCGTGGATAGCGGCCGCGCTGAGAGACCACCCCCTGCGCACCCCCTATGGTGTCCAGTAAGTGCCACGCCTGCTAGGCTTTGCGATAGTGTCGTGGATAGCGGCCGCGCTGAGAGACCACTCCCTGCGCACCCCCTATGGTGTCCAGAAGATGCCACGCCTGCTAGGCTTTGCGACAGTGTCGTGGATAGCGGCCGCGCTCATGGTGTCCAGAGGTGCTGTGCTGTGCTGTGCTGTGTAGTGCTGAGGTGTGCTGTGCTGAGGTGCTGTGCTGTGCTGTGCAATGCTGTGCTGAGATGAGCTGTGCTGTGCTGTGCTGTGTACGTGCTGTGTGTCAATGTGCTGTGTGCTGTGCTGTGCTGAGCTGTGCTGACCTGTGCTGTGCTGTGCTGCACTGTGGTGCGCTTGCTGTGCTGTGCAGTGCTGTGCTGAGCTGTGCTGTGCTGAGCTAAACTGTGCTGTGCTGAGGTGCTATGCTGTGCTGTGCAGTGCTGTGCTGAGCTGTGCTGAGCTAAGCTGTGCTGTGCTGTGCTGCGCTGTGTGAGAAGGAGAAGGAGGAGGAAGGAAGATGGGGTGTGAGGACCGCGGGTGCGACGAGGCATGGAAGAAAACCAGAACCCCACTAAGAATGTGGGGAACAACTGGTGGACAGACAGCAGCAGAAACCGGTAGACAGAAAAACCAGAAGGCAAGGTTTTTTACTGTCTGCCGGGGTTTTACTGCCTTCAGTCTTAGATGTTTTCAGTCTTGGGTCCTTCCCCATATCCAACGGATGGGATTCTTGTTCTTACTTTGTCCGCGCCGACTCCTTCAGGTCACCTCCTCCCCTCCTCCTTCTCTTGTCTATCCCACTGAGAATATGATGATGATGCTGATGATGATGATGATGATGATGATGATGATGGTTCGGATGCTGACGGTGTTGATGATGCTGATCATGCTGACGCTGATGGAAGGTGATGGCGCTGAAGATGATGATGATGATGATGATGATGATGATGATGATGATGATGATGATGGTGGTGGTGATGATGATGGTGATGGTGATGATGATAATGATGATGAGCAGATGCTGCTGCTGCTGCTGCTGCTGATGATGATGATGATGATGATGATGATGATGATGATGATGATGACGACGACCAGAGGGGGCCAGATTGTGAGGATGTCTCGATCGGCTTGCTGGTTTCAGCACTCCTAAAGGGGGGCCGCCAGGGGTATCTCACGGCCTCCGTTCGCGCCCAGATTGCGGGGATGTCTCCAGCGGTTTGCCTGTTTGCATGCCCGACATCCTCCGCTTTCGGAGCAGATTTGGAGGGTGTCTCGTGCGAGGCGCTGGTTATCGCACCCCAGGGGGCCCAGATGGCGAGGATGCCTCGAGCGGTTTGCCTGTTTTTGGGGGCCAGGCTCGTCTGCGCTCAGAGCAGATTCCGAGGATGTCTCAGGCGGTCAGCTGGTTTTCGCTCTCCTAGCCGGCGGTATCTCACGGCTTCTGGTCGCGCCCAGATCACTGGAATGTCTCAAGCAGTTTGCCTGTTTACCAGCTCCTTTCGGAGCAGACTTGAAAGATGTCTCGTGCGGGGCGCTGGTTCGCACCCCAGGGGGCCCAGGTGGCGAGGATGTCTCGAACGGTTTGCATGTTCTGCTGGCCAGACTCGTGGGCACGGATCCTCTTCAGGATGCCACAGACGGCTCCATGAGACTCCGGGAGGACCCAGGAAGCCACAGGAGGCATTAGGAGGCCACAGGAAACCACATGAGGCCCCAGGAGGCCACAGGAGGCACCAGGAGGCCCCAGGAGGCTCCAGGAGGCCCCAGGAAGCACCAGGAAGCACCAGGAGGCCACAGGAGGTCACAGGAGGCCACAGGAAGCGACAGGAAGCAACATGAGGCCCCGGAAGGCTCCAGGAGCCCCCACGGGGCCCCAGGAGCAGGAGGCCTCAGAAGGCCACAGGACTGGCTCCATTCCCAAGTGTTTGACGTATGCTCATATCGATTGTCCTTCTCCTGCGTATCCACTCCTAAGTGTTTTACGTATGTGCCTATAGATTGGGCCTGCCCTGTGGCACGAGTCCTTGGTGTTTTACGCGCGATCCTGTAGATTGCCCCTCTCCTGTGGCTCCAATCCGAAGTGTTTCACGTCTGTGCCTATAGATTGGGCCTCTCCTGGGGCACGAATCCGCCCCAGGAGGCCCCAGGAGGCTCCAGGAGGCTCCAGGAGGCCACGAGGCCACAGGAAGCCTCAAGAGGCCCCAGGAGGCCCCAATGGGCTCCAGGAGGCACCAGGAAGCCCCACGAGGTTTGAAGAGGCCCCAGGAGGCCCCAGGCTCATGCGCAGAGGCGCACTAATACTACGGAGACTCATTCACGCTCTAACCTATTCACAATTCGATTCGCTCCTAGACCGTTAATGTTCAAGCCCGTTTATGTTCGAAAACTCTTGCGCCTGGACACTCACGGCGGACAGGTCAATGCTAATGGATGCACACATGGGGAGCTCCACGCAGTGAATAATGCTGCCTTCCGGTTCCAGGAGGGGCAGACGTCGCGCTGGAGGGTTCCACTTCCACCTGCACCCATCGACCTCCAGCGTCCACCAGCTCAGAACTCAGCCTCCCGACCTCGGCAGACAAGGACAACATGCGTTGAGGGCTCCGGCCCCCCCCACCCAACGCAGGCCCTAAAGGGCCCCGCCCCTGGCGGAACCGCGCGCTCGCCTCGCCTCGCCTCGCCTCGCCTCGGCACGCTCACGGCCCAGACAGGCAAGGTCCCGAAACATGCGGGCCGAGGGTGTGCTCGTCTGGGGCCCCCCACCTCTGTGGGCCCCGGGCCGTCGGGTGTCGGTCCAGCACCAAAAGACGCGGAAATCAATCATTGGTGAATGGCTGGAGCTTCCACGACTGGCTCTGCTGGGGATGCCTGAGGGTTTCTGGCGGCCCTGGCGGCAAATCGAGGAATCCATATGGGCTGGGCCGCCGAGGCCGATCCTTTGACGCGCAACCGTCTCGGCAAGCAAAACCGTTGCCGATGCTGATCCTACTCTTGCCGCGCTACTGTCCCTTCCAGGTGTGCTCGCCGCACATGTAGCATTCCACTATCCAGTCGACGGGGAAAGTGCCCCATACAATCTGGACCAATACACTGCCACCTCCCCTTCTTGCTACACGAAACGGGCCAACTACGGACACGACAAGGGTCGCATTTGGGAAGATGAGTTCTTGAAATATCAAAATCATTAGGCCGCCGACCCCCGCATGCCGGGGATGAGAAGTTTCAGAGAAAAGGCGTGTGAGATGATCGACTGTCCACCTCCACCCTTTCCCCCTCCCCTGGGGTCCAAACTGCCGTTTGAGAGGGGGGGCGGGGGGGGGAAGGGGGGGCACGAGCTCCTGAATGCATCCTTGGGGCCCAATGGCGCCTCTCCACAGCCCCAAGACCCCCCAAGACGGCCCAAACGAAACGCTCGGAAGTTCCAAGAAAGCGTCGAGATGGCCCAAGGTAGGCCCGCGATGATCCAACCAGGCTTCGAGACGGTCCACGACGCGCCCAAGACGGCCAAATGGTGCTCCCACAGGACCGCCAGGAAGCCCCACATATTTGAAAATTGCCACACTCCCATGGGACAACGTACATTGTCAGTATGCCCGCCTTTTTGCGTCTGGAGAGCGTGAAAGGCAGCCCAAAGGGCTCCCAATATCGTCCTAAGGCTGCTCTAAAACGGCCCAACAGGGCCCCAAGACGGCCTCAAGGCCCCCGAAACGGCCCAAGAGACCCAAGAAAGGCCCAAACCGGTCCCAGGGTCTCACAAGATGGCCTACGAGAGCCCCAAGAGACGCCCAAGGAGGGGGCTCCGAAGTGACATATCGAGCCTTTGCACCCAAGATTGCCCTACGAGCCACTCTAGCCGCCCCGACGAGGCCCCAAGAGCCCTCCAAGAGGCCCCCAGAACACCACAAGGCCCAAATACTCCTCGACACACGCTCCAAGAGGCTGCTCAGAGGCATCCCACGGGACTCCAAGATGTCTCCAAGACTTTCTCCCCGCGGGAGGGTGCCCGGCCCTGTCTTTCTGGCCTGCCTCCGGCTGTCACGGCTCTGCTGCCTGCAACCTCTGCGGCTACTCGCCGCTGCTGCCAGGCCTTCGCGGCCTTCTTGCTTCTCCGCTCCTGCCCTTCTGATGGCTTTGGCTGGTCGTGGCACCCTCGCACCGTAGGCTGTGTCCCCGCCCCGCCTTTTGGGCTTCCAGGTCGATCTTGGCAATGACGCTCCACGCTGCTTGCTCGCCCCCCCGCGCCATCCCAGATGGCTTATAGTACCTTCCACCGCACCGTAGCCTCGTCCTTCCACCGCTCCCCCTGTCATTCACGCCCAGATGGCTTATGGCTGCTGGCCACTGCGGGACCCTAAGCGGTTTCTGAGGACTCGGGCGTTCCTGGTCGCGCGCGCGTTCGCTGCTTTACGACCTTCTCCGCCCTGTCGCCTCGCGCAGGGCCGCGACGCCAAAACATGTGTTTGTGTGTGTGTGTGTGGCTGGACGCAGCGGAGGCGGAGGGTGGCGCTTCTGCCCCAGCGCGGCGGGTACTCTGGGCCGACCAGTCTCTGGCCTGGGGGCGCCCCGCCAGGCCCCGCCAGGGCGGCATCCACCAGCACCTCTCTGCACCATGCCCCGCCGCGTCTGGCCCAAACCGGGCTTCGAGCCCGCTCCGCCACTGCCGCCGTCTCTCTCTCTCTCTCGCTCCCCAGGGGGGCCGCAGGCCCGCGGAGTCCCCGCGCGTCCACCCGCGCGGCGCGCGCCGCGCCGCGCGTCCGCCGCCACGGCACCTCGAGGCCACGACCCCGCCACCCAGAGAGACCGCCGTCTCCTCCTCCTCCCCCGCCTGTCGCCCCGCAGCCTCCGCAGGCCGGACGCCCGGGGGGGCCACGGGGCCCCGACCCCGGCTGGCGGCTCCGCCTCCGCCGAGGTGCGCCACGGCCGTCGCCCTGCCTCCCGGGCGGCTCCCTCCCCCGTGGTCTGCCACGCGCGCGCGGCGGGCTCCAGCTGGACGCCGCCGTCTCCCAGAGCCTCCGCTGACCTGCCCCTCTGCGCGCGCGGCCGCCCGCGCGGAGCTGCCCCCTCCCGCCCGGGTGTGGCACCGGGCGCGACACGGCCCTCGCAGTCGCCAGCACCCCAGCGCCGTGGATCCCCCAGCGCGGGTGCCGCCATTGGCTCCAAACCTCCTCCTCCCGCCCACCACGTCCGGGCACGGCCCGTCGACCTCTGCGCTACGCCCGCTGGGGGCTCCTCCTCCCATAGGCCGCGGGCGCTCGCCGGGCCCGACGGGCACTCCGCCGCCGGCCGCCTCGGCCGTGTCCTTTCGACTGGGCCTCGTCGGCCGCGTCCTCGCCCCGCTCGCTGCGGAGGGTGCCCCCTCCGCGCCACGGGCGGCTCTCCTCTCGAGCGCCTGGGCCAGTGAGACTGGGCGAGGGCGGGGAGCCCAGTGCTGGACCACGGGCTCTGCACGGCAAACCGGCTCAGCGCTTGCCCGGTCAGTGTTCCCGCCTGGTCAGCGCACGCAGGCGCTCCCGGGGGGGCCTGGCCGAGGAACCCAGGGATCCAACGTATTGAACAAGATCAAGACGGAAGGTTTTCGCAATTTTCGGCCTCTAGGGGCCCTCGCCGGGCCCCGGGACCGTCAAAAAACGACGACTCAGGATGAAAAACCGGTCCTTGGGAATGGGTCGAGACTTCGGGGGACCGCGCATTGAAAAAATCACGACATCGGATCTCTGGAAACTCAGCTCTCAGAAGCGCGCTCCCTCTGGGAACTTGTCCCGGCCCACCCGCCCTCCGCCCCCCTCCAGGCGCTAGCTTGGCGGCGGCCATGTGCTCGCCACTGCGCCCAGCACCCCTTTTGCCGGTGGCTGGTCCCCCCCCCACACACCTCTCGCCTCGGTGAGCGGTCGTGTTCTTGCCATGCTGGCATCACAGGCCCAACGCGTGGCCACGTCCCTCAGCCGCTTCGTCGGCACTGCCGGCTGTATCGGTCGTTCGGGTTACGCGCTCCGTGAGCTCATTCCCTTCCCAGACCCCCGACGTCGTGAATTTTTCACAACGTCGACCCCCAGAGGTCTGGAACACTTCCCGGGGACCGGGTTTGCGTCCTGAGTCGTTTTTGGACGGTCCCGAGGCCCGGCGAGGGCCCCCGGAGCCAGAAAATAGCGAAAAACCTCCCGTCGTGATTTTTTCACAGCGCGAGGAGGTCTGGGTTTGTCTCGTCGCTGTTGGTTGGTTGTTCTGTCGCTGTGCTGCTCGTCACCGTCTCCGGGCGTCGCCTCAATTTCCTCACTCGCCGCCCACGCCCGGGTGGCCCATGGGCGGTCGATCCAGTGTGCGCGGCCACGCACCTGAGGGCCCGGCCGCGCGCGTTTTTATAGTTCCGTGCCGCTTGCTTGGCTCGATCCGCCTCGTCGCGCTCGAGGCCGCGATCACCAAAATTCGTGTGTGTGTGTGTGTGCGTGGGTGCAAGCTCTTCAGCACCGCCTGCACCCCGCGCCCTCCGGCCCGGAAGGGGCCCGCTCTCGACCCGCAGACCAAAAAGTGTGTGTTTGTGTGTGTGTGTGTGTGTGTGTGTGTGTGTGTGTGTGTGTGTGTGTGTGTGTGTTTGTGTGTGTGTTTGTGTGTGTGTGTGTGTGTTTGTGTGTGTGTGTGCGTGTGTGTAGTGTGTACTTTGCGGGCCCCCCTGGGCCAGAAGCGCCACACCTCCCCCTGCTCCTCCGCCGCCCGCGAGACCATCGCTCCTCGGTCCTCCGGGGGCCTCCGCGGAGGGCCACCGCCGGCGCCCCGCGGAGGCCCCCCAGAGGCCCTCGCGGAGGGCCCGCCGACTCCCTCCTCCGGCCCCCTCGGCCCCCTCTCCTCGAGGCCTCCGGGCCCCCTCCTCCTGGAGCCCCCCTTCGGGACTCTCCGCGGGCGGCCGCCCTCCCACGGAGCGGCGCCGACGCGCTCGCGGCCGCGAGAGTGCCGCCGCCGGGGGGAGGGGGGGGCTCTCCGCCAGCCGCGGCGGCGGCGGCGGCCCCCCGCCGGGGCAGCGCCGCCCGGGCCTCACCTCGCGGCGGCGCCGCTCGTCGTTGCCGCCGTCGTCGGGACAGGAAGTCGAGGAGATCGAGCATCTGGCACGAGGGTCGACTCCGACGCCCCGTCGAGGAGGGAGGGGGGGGGGAACAAAGGAGGGGCTGGGGAGAAGGAGGGAGGAGGGAGGGAGGAGGAGGAGGAGGAGGAGGAGGAGGATGAGGAGGAGGAGGATGATGAGGAGGAGGAGGAAGAGGAGAAGGAGGAGGAGGAGAGGAGGAGGAGGAGGAGGAGTAGGAGGAGGAGGAGGAGGAGGAGGAGGAGGAGGAGGAGGAGGAAGGGTAATGAAAAGGAGATAGAAGGAGATGAGGATGGGGAGGAATAGGAGGGAGGAAAGGGAGGAGGGAGCACATTACACACAAGGAAAGGGACAATCATGATGATGGTGGTGGTGGTGGCGAGGAGGAGGAGGACGAGGTGGAGGAAGAAGAAGGACAATATACATGGTGGCGAGGAAGGAGAAGGATGGGGGAAGAGGAGGGGCAAACGGGGAGAAAGGAAGGACTACTCATGAGAAGGACAAGCAAACAAACAAACACAACACGCACAACCGAGGGTGCAACACACCCTCCCGTCCCAAATCCCCTCATAGTTATGTCAGGTTTGTGAGTAACCGCCCCCCTCCCAAACAAAACAAAATGAGAGCGCCCAGAAAACTGCCCCCCCTTCCAGACATCGGCTCCTCTAACTGGCGCCCCCCCGAGGGGTGTGGGGGGTCGAACTGGGCCCCACCTGTTTGCAAGAGGGGGGGTCGAACCGGGCTCCTCCCATTAGTGCTCGATCTGGCTCTAATAGAAGACATATACGAAAGCTGGATCCAACTTAATTAGCATCTTAATCCGGCGCGATTCAACGACAGTAGAACACAGCTATAGCTGGATCCAGCCTTTGAGTCCTACTATCGGTCAGTCAGTCTCTAATCCGCCAATCTGGCGTGTTAGCTTCAATTATCCTGGCGAAGGACCCAACCATATGCAGTTGTGAGTAGCGCAGTTGTTGGTATCGTCTTCGGTGGAGCTCCTGATGGGGCACGAAACGTGTGAGGGGTGTGCCAACATGGGCGCGGTGGTGTCATGCGTGCGCAGCCTCCGGGGCCTTCGGTGAAGCACCCTATGGGGCCACGAGACGTGTGAGGGGCGTGCCGGCATGGGTGCGGTGGTTTCATGCAAGCGCAGCCACTGGGGCCTTCGGTGGAACTCCTTGTGGGGCCACGAAACGTGTGAGGTGTGTGTGTGTGTGTGTGTGTGCCGAAAATGGGGCGGTGGTGTCATGCGAGCGCACCCACTGGGGCCTTCGGTGGAGCTCCTTGTGGGGCCGCGAAACGTGTGAGGGGTGTGCCGAAATTGGCGCGGTGGTGCCATGCGAGCGCAGCCACTGGGGCCTTCGGTGGGGCTCCTTGTGGGGCCGCGAAATGTGTGAGGGGCGTGCCGAAATGGGTGCGGTGGCGCCGTGCGATCGCAGCCACGGGGGCTGTCTGTGGAGCTCCCCGTGGGGCCACGAAAACGTTTGAGGGATGTGCCGAGATGGGTGCGGTGGTGTCATGCGTGCGCAGCCATTGAGGCTTGCGGTGGAGCTCCTTATGGGGCCACGAAGCTTGTAAGGGTTGGCGAAGAGCAAGAGACATCTTTAATACTATGAAAGAAAAAGCGGAAACAGTCAGCATGGACGTTGAACGCCTCACTAAACTTAAACGTTTTGTCCCAGATGGTAGGACGCACGAAATGGCCCTAACATTTCGAGCAGAACGGGAAGCCGAGTTGCAGAGAAATGCCCTAGGGAAAGGCCCCCCTGACAACGATCAGTCCACCCGTCCCTGTCAGTTACCGATATCATCTACCGTGACGACACGATACTTTTCTTCTCCCTTCTACTCCATCACAGATACGGAGAGACGGTGGGCGGGGTATTCTGCATACGCTACAGCATACGCGCAGTGTAAAGACGGGTCACGGCCAGTGGGGGGAAATGGGGCCAGCATCCAAGGTACTGCGCGACTGCCAGGGCAGATGGGACATCCACTAATCCAGAAGCCGCATTAAAGTGATCATTTGTTTTTTGGCCCCCCCTCTGTCACAGAGGGGCCCTAAGATGCCCCCCCTCTGTCACGGAGGACCTCGTTCTGGGTGCTCTTCTGCCACGGGAGCTCCCGATACGATTGGAGACGATCATATTCGGATCCCACAGCGGATCTTGCTCAACGACGGCCCAGGTGCGCAGTGTGGCGCACCAGCGGGGAGTCTCGGAGTGCGCACCGCGGGAGCCCACCCAGGGCCCTCACGGGCAGCGGCCAGCTATGGCCCTGCGGGCGTTGCAACAAGAGGTTCCGGGTACTTCGAGGTGATCGAGAACCACAGGGAGCACGCAAGAAATGATGCTGGTCATGGTAAAGCCAAGGAGGCAAAACCAGTCCATGGAGCAGAGTGCGATTCGACTGTGAGCTGGAGCTGAGGCAGGAGGAGTGGGATAAATGGAGTGGTGAGTAGAAGACTCTACATGGAGGAGAACAGTATATTTCGAGAAGGCAGGCCTGCCGAGAACAGAAGAGGAAAGCAAAAGGAGCCGCGTGGGCAACCCAACCCTTTGGACACATTCAAGCGGCGAGCGCACTCCTGGCGGAAGCAGAGAGCCGAAAGAAAAAAACTCGCGATGAAAAGAAACAGTTGGCCCTAGAGAAGGCAAAAGGAGACGGAAAAGGCACTGCTGGAGGGTATCAAAATGAGTGGAGGCATCTTTGCAGCCTTCAGTCAAGTAGGAGAACACATGACAGAGGCTTTATGTTGCGCCGAGGAATACGCAATCCTGCTCAGCCAGTACACGGCCATGGACATCAATAACGAAGACGCACTGAAAGCAGCAAACCAAGGATTGGAGAAAAAAGGGAAGAGCTGCACGAGATGGGCGTCTACAAGACAGCGAAGAACATGGGGGACAAACAGTCGGCGTACCTCAAGGCGCTGGATTTCGTGGACAAGTGGAGCGACAACATGCAACTGTTCAACGTATGCAGGATGGACACAGGATGGGACGAAAAGAAAGGCGTCGCTTGCTCGTGCGGGCTTGCCTTCCCAAACAAGATGTGGTGGAAAGGACCCAGCGCCTACTCGAGAGGAGACAAGTGGCAGTTCTGGTGCAAGGTGGACTGGTCGTAGCTCGCCAAGGCGCAGGAGAACCACCCTGACGACGAGCTCAGGAAAGAGTGGGTGGACAAGATGAAGAGCGCGCTCGGCGATGACTGGGAAGGGTGGCCAGACATCGGGTGCAAGTCGAAGTTCCTCCCGTTCAAGAGTGGGCCGTCCGTCGATGCCGGTGGAGCTCAAGGTGGGAAATGTCTGGGAAGCGCTCGTAGCGGAAAGGCTGCCGTAGCAGCTAGACGACGCCATCAAGGAGCCACTGCAAGTTCTTCGGCGCCGCCCAGAAAATGGGCCCGGAGGAGCTTCTCGAGCTGATCCCCGTGGCCTTCCCGACGACGCACAAGGTAAAAGGTTGCGATGTCATCGCAAGGTGTCCTGTGGACGCGTGGGAAAGGGCTGGGGAGAAGGCCTTCACTGTGCAGAGCTGGTGCGAGTTGGCGCTGAAGATTTCGAGGAACGTCGAAGAGAACCTCCACCAAGTCATGAAGGCCACCATGGAGGAGCTGAGTAACGAGGACAATCTCGACCCAGAGGGAGTGAAAAAGGCTCAAAGAGCGACAAACGCTACGAGACAGCACGCAGACCCTGCTGGATGGTACCGGGATCTTCGAGGAAAAGTTCGCCTACCCCAAGTCGGAGGAGACGACGACGGCCAGCTCCTCCAGCGGCCACCAGTGAGAACACCCACACAGTGGAGCGCACTGGCAAGCCGACAGATGCATTAGTGAGGTTTTCTCTGAGTGCTACTCTGGGCAGGCTGGACGAACCCACTGGCAAAACCAAGAGATGCATTAGCGAGATTACCGCGGAGTGCTACTCTAGGGAAGCAGGACGGGCAAACACAGAGTGCTCGCACTGACATCGTCATGGGAAGTGTCTTTTGGAGTGCGGACTGGCACATTACTGCTGGGCGATGAATGGGATCATCACGAAAGCCACCAGAGCGCATCCTCGAGAGCCCCACCTACAACATACCGTGACTACCAGTATGCTCTACCCCACATGCACTTCGAGGGGGAACAGTGGGATACTTCAATGGGGTATCAGAGTACAGATACGACAATGCATGGGGCAACTATCGGCCACATCGACGTGGAAGAGAAGTGAACCGAGCGAGATAGGAGATCCGCCGGCCCCCTTGTGGGGCCACCAGGCTGTAGGCGCGGGTTCGCAGTTTCCTGTACCAGTTGTAGCTTGTAGTTTCCAGTGTTACAGTTCTGCTTCTTGCTGGTTACTGTAACTAGTTGATTGACCGCGCGAGGGGGGGGGAGGCCCAAACCAATTTTTAGCGTCTCCTGGGCGCGTTGTCTGAATTGCTGGGGGGGCTCGAAATCGACACCCCTCACGCAGATCCGCGGGGTCAGGGTCCAAAAACACAGGGATTTGCCACATTTCTGAAATTCGGTGCCACCCCTCACGCAGATCCGCGGGGTCAGGGTCCAAAAACACAAGGGATTTGCCACATTTCTGAAATTCGGTGCCACCCCTCACGCAGATCCGCGGGGTCAGGGTCCAAAAACACAGGGATTTGCCACATTTCTGAAATTCGGTGCCACCCCTCACGCAGATCCGCGGGGTCAGGGTCCAAAAACACAAGGGATTTGCCACATTTCTGAAATTCGGTGCCACCCCTCACGCAGATCCGCGGGGTCAGGGTCCAAAAACACATGGGATTTGCCACATTTCTGAAATTCGGTGCCACCCCTCACGCAGATCCGCGGGGTCAGGGTCCAAAAACACAGGGGATTTGCCACATTTCTGAAATTCGGTGCCACCCCTCACGCAGATCCGCGGGGTCAGGGTCCAAAAACACAGGGGATTTGCCACATTTCTGAAATTCGGTGCC